TTTTTTTTTTTTTTGTTGTAAATTCTTATTTGGTTTTGTATCTTTGAGGACTATGATTTAATTTGAATTCAGAGTTAAGTTAGGCATATCATCTTTCTATCAAATTATTTGCTGATAGCATTATATATATTCTGCAGTCTACTGCCTAATATATTTGATATATTTTGTGAATATCTCTGAGCATAGCTAACAGCATATCTAATTTGATGCCTGAATGATGCAGCCACACAGTGTAATGGAAGCCCAAAATGCTAAATCCTTTACACAGGATGAAGGTTTGAAGTCTGAACACTTATATTGGTGGTCTAGAACCTGCATAAGTGCATATATTATATGAAAATAGGTGACAGTTCACTCAGATGATAACTTTATTTGGTACTTTGAATCTGCCAAAGATTATGACTTGATTGGTGAACAATTACACTCAATTTTTGGTAATGACAGCAAAGAACGCGACATTACACTGAAAAATTATACTGTATGAATAGACAATAATATTTTTACTGTTATGTTTTCTAGCATATAAGTTAACCGTTACACAAAAAAGGGAAAATAATATAGAACAATTTTACTTGGTTGAACCGAGAAAATAACTACTGGGTACTTGTAAAAACAAAATTTCGATGATATAGATTTACAGTATATTCACACGCTAATTTATGGTGTGTAGAATTAACGAATAATAATTGTTCTCAAATTGGGATTTCAGGTGTTTTCTTTCAGCTACTGAAGCAGCTGCATGAGCAATTCCCTCAAAATTTATCAAGATTCCAAACTATATTACATATTTAGATACATCAGCAAATTAAAAAAAAATGTATTTGAAAATAAATTATATTGAATGATAAAACTAACAAGAAAATCTTAAAAATGACTAATTTTTAAATGTCTCCATCAAAGGATTAGCAGGTGACTGGCACATCAACAAAAGCACCAGCCGTATGCCCACATACCATGATCTATCAAGAATTTGATTTTTTTTAGCGACTTATTTGAAAATCAAGCATGTATTTTCAGAACCGAAAGTATAAATATTCTAAGTAAAAGTTTGTTTATAAATTTTGTTTCAAATGTGTGAGCATATCTATCTAGATTGATATCTCTCTTATTTGAATTTATAATGTCTACAAACTTACAAAATATAAAAAGATATTGAATACTAAAAACAAAAGAACTGGCATAAACGTGTCCGGAGTAACTTTAAAAAAGTTATACCGAATAAATGCAGTAGATATAGCAGAAAGTGACACATCATAGACCTATTGGATGTACGATAAGCATCATAAATATTCTATCAACTATTTAAAAATTCAAATTTAACTAAATACAAAAAAAAAAGCAATTTAGTTACAATTTGATATTTGATCCATTTCTTACGGTGAAAAACTGATTCAGATTTTAAACTCGATTAGCTGTTTACTAATAGTGTTTGTTAGCTTCCTATGATATTCAAGGGATAGGTTTCCCCAGCAATTGAGAGTCCAAAAATGCATGTATTTTATTTTTACATACATCACTATCATGCATGCCATAGGCACCAAAGTGAGTGTTTCCATCCTTCCCCAAGGCCAATCAAGCAATAATAATCATGTTAACTTTGGTGGATCTGAGCTGCCAATTATAATGGCAAGAGAGCCAAAATTATAGGTTTTTCTGTTGCATTTATTTGAGCTGCAATTCGGTTGAGTATTTTTCCTTCTTTCACCTAATGTTATATGAGTGCCAGTATGTCACTAAGAGGCTTAATATAGCAGACAGATATGTCAGACAACTGGGTTTTGATATCATTGAAAGCCTCACTTGATTGTTTCTTAATTATGTAGTGAATTTATGGAGAACCCTAGTGAGGCTTTGTCAACAAATTTGGAAGCCCCTCTTTTACCTACTTGATGGGTGAACCAAAACATTTATGGTCATACAGCTTGGTCCAAAGGATATAGGAAGGTATGGTAGCACAAGGACAAGCATTGAATTTCATGAGCCCCACTCTGAAATGCATCAGTGATGGGTAAGATAAAAGGGTTAACGAATTAGGATGCAAGAAAATAGCTCCTATAGCTTTTGCAATTCCAATTTTTTATCTGTTTCTCCCTTGGATTTCTTTGTGACATTAAATAGAAGACTCAGATTCTGTTGAAAAAGAAGCTGAAGAAGAAAAAGCAGATAGGTGGAAAGAAAGTGGAAATAAGTTCTAAGAGGGACAAGTGAAAGAAGGTTGGATACCACTAGCACATCATGTTCACAGAGCACATGGTTGTTGTAGTTACTTCTTTTTTTCTGAACAAGCAGATATTATGGTCCCAGAAGACCAGGAGGAGTAAGTGGACCACCATACAAGTTGGTTAATGATTTTGTTGCTTGATCAACAGTGGACGAATTTTGTGCTAGGGAAATAATGATATCCCATTTTGTCACTATCTTGAAATATTAAAACATAGAGAAGTAATGAAGACAATTGTGCTCAACCTTTAAGCACATAAAATCCTAACAAGGGAGACATAAAATTCATTTTCAACTTCACTGTCAAGCTAGCGGCAAATGATATCAACTCCATTTGGAGGTTACATGTGTTTTTCAATCATAACTATCACATTGTAGTAATGTCATTATTTTAAGCAACTAGGAAGCAAGGTTTTGAATTGTGGTTACAGTTGAGTTTCGTTGCAATCCTTAATGTTGAGAGAAATTACAGATAAATGCAGCTAATGTGGTAGTAGTGACGCAAAATACCTTGACTATAAAGTTTTATTTTTTTATCTAATAGAATTGAACTTGATATTAAAGGAGTTTACAACAATTCACACAGTTGTTCAATCACTGAATTAGACAACCTTGATCTTTGGTGCTGCATTTGAAATCATGGTTGGGGATCGTTTCTTAAAATCTTGCTAGAAAAAAAAGCTGCAGCGCTGCTTCTTTATTGTTATAGCAAAAGTTATTTTATAGGTATGAATTGACACTACTCCGACTCAAAAGCTTTAGCTAATGAGTCAAAAGGCCCATCCAAACACCATGGAAAGAAATTCTATCATCAAGGCCTATTTCATACATGTAAAAGGTTTAGGCAAAAAACAGTGACACAAAAACGAAATGGAAAGATCAGAGATTCAGAGAGAACGTAACTTCTATAACCATAGCATCTAATAGTAAAAGAGATTAATTAGATGTCTCAATTAACCTTTGTACAATGCATCATACTTCATCAGAAAAAAAATGAAAATGAGTCCAAAGGAACTCGAAAACTACACCATGCTACTCTTATGATTTATCTCCAATTCTCCATCACCCTTCGCATCAATTCTCCCAAAAATCTTGGATGGTGCTGCAAATCTAGCTGAAAATGATCGAGAAACGTTATCAGGGTCAGTGGAGTAGCCATCATCGAAGTTCTGCAAGTAGGAGGTAGGATCATACTGCACATGAAAGTGATGAAACACAGGTGAAGGACTAAAGAATCTCCTTCTTTCCCTCTTGATCTTCCTCCACAAGGTTTTCCAGCTTCCCATCTTCAATCTGGCTACAAATTCGTTGACACACACAATGGGATCGTAGCTAATTCTCTCATAACTTGACCAATTGCTGTTGCTTCTTATGGTGCTTAGACAGTGACAATTTTCAAGGTTCATGGTGTATAGTAACAGAACAGAGAACCTTGGGAGCAAAAAATGGTTTAGGGGACCAAGGTATTTGAAGTGCATGCACTAAGACTATTTATATATTGACAACAACATGCTCCACTTTTTATCTTCAACTCATCACCACCACCTCAGCATAACACGTACTTACAAGAGGATAGGATCAAGGAAAAAAGTGAAAACATTTTAATCTAGCAATGTTAATAATTCCTTGTGATGTCAGCAATTATATAATGGCTGTATTTCTATGTTGTCACATGGAGTATGGTTTGTTCAGTAAGTTACTTTGTAGAAAGATGAATAATAAATAAAGGGCTGTTCACATTTATGTAGAGAATTAGCTGTTTGAAACACCTAAGTCCTACCCTATTATTATTTATTTAGTTTTGTCTTTTCTATATTGCATATATTATTTATCAGAAACAATCTCATTCAAGTGGGGAAAAGATTAGTATGGATAGTAAAATTCTTCATCCAAACACTTAACACAACTATACACAAACAAATTTATAGCAAATACAGTGGGGCAAAGCTCCTATTAACATTTCAAACTTTTTTTTTATTTATATTATTATTATATTTTAATTGGCCACATTATATATTTAATATATTATATATTAGTATTTTATTCAATTTTTTTATTCTAATAAATAGTTGTATTCACCTTTTCTTTTGTCAAAATTATCTTTAAATTTTGTTATTAATATATTATCTTTTTTTAATGAAAAATCTATTGCTTTTATAATAATTAAAGAAAACGTGATTTAATTTATTAAAAAAAGGTTGTTTTGAGTTTTTTTTGTTTTTTAATTTTTGAGCCCTTTTAATTATCTATGTTATAATTGTTACTATATTTGTTTTTGTTATTGTTTCATATAGTTTAGAAAATATCAAATTAATTATGTGTAACAAATAATAAATATAATAATTATCACACAAAAAATAATATATAATTAAAAATTAAGAAAAGATAGTTGTTCTTCACAAGATTATATTGCTTCACTTTTATTACTAAATATTTATACTATTAATAAATGAGATACTTTTTTTTATGTAAATAAAATTTGGACTAATTTATCTTTAAATTAATTTTATTTATTTATTTATTCTCTTACGTATATTTATTTAATATTGATATTTAGTAGTATCTAAACCTCTCACACTTTAAATAGTCACTTATTATTATTTTTTTTCTTTGAAGGAGAGAGGTATGAGATGTTTCTTTTTCCTTTGATTTTCATAAAAAAATTATGTTCCCTGTGAATATCATAAAAAAATGCGATGAGAAAATGAATGAGAAATAAATAATTATTTAATTATATCTATATAATAAGATAACATCATCTTTTAATTTCTATTTTATATTAAATTATTGATATTATAAATTTATATATTTGATTAAGTGGTTCTCGCAACTTAAAATAACTTAAAAATTTTAAGATTCATCACTGCAATTATATACTCAGAATTTAAACTTACGAATCGAATCCACTAATTAAGCTATAAACAATATGGTGCCACAATAATACTTTTTAGTGTTTTGGGGTTCGCAGGGAGTTCAAAGCAAACGATAACCCATGAAATAAGCAACGATTTGAGGAGTTTTTATTTGTCTTTTTTATGCACAAGTTTTTTGGTTCATGTAAGACTATAAGGTCACCTTATAAACAAAATGTTGGTCGGTGCTTAAGCGTTGGATTTAAGGACATAATTAATAGTTTCAACTTTTAAATATGTTTAACCCTTTATACATGGTCCATTCCTTTGTACAAAGGGTTGGTTTCAATTTGATTAATTAATTTGTACAAAGCGTAGGTTTCAATTTGAGATGCTTTTGAATTCATGTATTAAAGTTACTGTAACCTTGTTGGCCCACTCTATTCCCTAGTTACCCTTTTCTTACCCTATTTTCTATTACTAACCCACCATGCTGCTTCTTTGGAAAGTTATTTTAACGCTGTTTTGGAAATAAGAGGAAAAATTGGAGTTGGTGAAGAAAAAAAGTAAAACGGAAACGATTCATGCACAAAAAGAGGCATCTCGCATTCACATACCTCTCAAAAAAGTATGGTGACCGTTGAATGGGAAGAAAAGAGAAAGATGATAAAAAGGTAAAAAAAAAAGGAAAAAAGGAAAAAAGGAAAAAGAAAAAAGAAAAAAGTACGACGTGATGAAAAGATTATGAGATCAAGGAGAAATGTTGTTTGTTTTTAGTTCAGCATGAGAAATATTGTTTGTAAAGATTACAAATGGTTAGTGAAATTTTTTTTATATCATTTTCTTCGTTTACATTTTGCTTATTTTTTTTAATTAAATAACCAAGCAAGGGGCAAGAAAATTTAAATTATGACACGTTTAATTTAAAAAAATTATATTTTTTTATAAATAATTATAAAAATTTGTTTTAAAATTATATATGCAAAATTATGAAAAACTAGTAGAAAGAAAGCACTACATACGAGCTTCCATTAAAAAAAAAGGCAATTAGGTAGACAACTAACAAATTAACTTTTGTGTATTTTTCTTCTTCTATTTTACCCTTAAGAAATACATGAGTAAAAAAAGTTTAAAATATAATATAGATGTATAAATATATATAAAAAATAAATAAAGACAAAAAAATATTTTTAAAAAAATCATGAACGACAAAAGTATTAAAAAATTTTATTTAGTTTTGGACCTTTTTACCATTATGAACTTTTACTTTATTTTTACTTTATTTCTCCTTATAAATTTGTACAAGTAATAGAAAAAACTGAAACAGGGATTTCTGATTTTACAATTTTTTGGGATTTCTGTTTTTACAATTTTTTTTACAAGTCTTACGAATAGAAAATACAGTTAAAAATAAAAAAATTTAAATATATTTTTAGTTTATCAAATTTAAAATTAATCTTTTTAGTCCTTGTAATATCTAAAAATCTTGTTTTAGTATTTATACTAAAATTTTGTTAAAAAATTTGTTAAATCCCGTCGAAATTTACCTATTAGTGTTGTTGTTGGTTAATACACCACATTAAATCTAATTGATATTGGATAATTGTTTTGATTCGTCACTTTTAGATATATCATTGGTAGTTTGAAGAACTCAGACAAAATTTTTGAAAATTATAGGAACTTTAAAAAATAGTTTTAAATTTGATGGACTAAAAATAAATCTACCTTAAATTTTAGGGAGTAAAAACATATTTAAACCAAAATAAAATTATAATTTTCTTAGTATTTATAAAATTATAAAAAAATGTAACATTTTTTTAAAACAAACTAATGCTTATTTTCTTCATCTCCAATTTTAATTTTTTTTCAACATCACTAATTAAATGCTTGATGAGAAATCTTTTAAGCTCGCTCTTATTCTAATCTAAATTTTTACCAGCAAAAATTATTGAATTCAAAGGTGGATATAGTCATAAGAAATTTAAGTAATTTAGACAATATCTTAAATTGTTGTCCCTTGTTAACAAAAGAGGAGAAAAAAATAAAAATCCTTGATGAGGGGCCTTCAGTTGCAATTTGGATTGAAAACAAGGTTGATCTATCTCAACAGTCACTATGGTGCTTCCTGGGCCCTGACCCACCCTAACCCAAAGTATAGTCATTCACTTGTTTGCATTCTTTGGAAATAAAGCGACGAAAAACGAAGTTGATGAAGAAAAAAGTGATACTGAATTATTCTCTCAAAAAAGGGAAGAGAGAAAAAATAAAGTTATCTCGCAAGGTTCTCAAAAGTTTGGTGGACCACTAATTCGGAAGGGGGAAAAAGTGAAAAAAAAAGGAAAAAAAAAAAGGATTTGGCGATGAGATTTTGGATTTGTGATAAATGTTGTTCAAGTTATATTATAAGAGCACACATGAAAACATATAGCAGAAAAATGGTTTAGAGATTGAAAACAAAAATTCATAACATAACATAACATATACTAAAAAAGTTCAAAGAAATTATTGAGAAGGGAAATCATCTAGATAATGCTAAAGGTGTCAATAATACATCTTATCCACCATATAACACTGAATGATTGATAGGATATCAGCATTATCTACCTGTACATGTGGTTGTGTGGTGAAATGTTGTTCCTGTGTATGCTCTTCCTTTACTTTAAGTTGTACCTCCTCAAGAACAAGTTATTGTTGTTGGAGTACATCGGTCAATGACTTCAAGGAGAAACTTCATGTCGTTTCATCATTGACTATATATATAGTGTCAATTTGGTAGTAAGTGATTCACTCCAGTTTGACTAACAATGAAATAAAAGTTGCTACCATTGTCCTTAGTAATACACTACATTATCCTTAATAATACACTGTATAACCCAAATGTTTAGCAATTTAAGTTATCAATCACTATTGACAATATTACCAAATCCAGTGTTTGAAATATTTTGTACCTTGGGTCTTTTTTCTTGCACGATTCACAACCGTGAACTATAATTATCGACCGTTTGCGTTTGACATTCTAGAACCAGAATGACTCGTTCTGGATTTAGAACGAGCCGTTCTAGTTCTAGATGCATTAAAGGAATTTGGCATCCACCTATGCATCTACGTGACATCCACGTGGCCAACAGTTAATTCCGTTTAAATAATTTGGACGGAAGTTCGACATTGCAACAATTTAATTTATTATGGACCAAATTGAAACCAAAAATTAAAGTGGGACTAAATTAAAACAAACAATTATAATAAGGGACCAAATTAGGTTTTTAGCCTTTATTTTCTCAAGGCATTAATATTTTATTTTATTTAATACCTTCTTTTAAAGGTTGTTAAAAAAAGTGAAAAACATAGCATAACTCATGTTACAACATTGATCACAATAATACAATCATTGCAAGTTGCAATTCTGGTACCAGCTCCAAATAATAATATATCATCTTAAAATATGTGGACATTGTGGCACTTCCCATTGATCCATCCAAGCTTGAATTATAATTTATGCATGCATGCACACATGTCAAGGAAGACTAACATCTTCTGACCCTTCACCCCATGATTGCAGAGTGTTTGTGGTTAGTCCTTCAGTTCATTATTGAAAGGATAAACAAAGTCAGAAGAAGAGATTCATTGACAAAGCAAAGACAAAAGTCACACACAACTGTCTTATGGCCCCATTAAGGCCAATTGCATAACAGTGTAAGCTTGCTTACCTTGTGCATACAGTGTTGAAGAATAATTGAATGGTTTTTTGTATTCACCAAAACCTCACATGCCAGTATTGTCTGTTGGGATATTAAGAGACAGAACATCAGCAAATTCAAAGTACGAGGAACAAAAATATATAATAGAGAGAGAAGGAAGGAGCTAAGAAAAATAATTATTTAGTAGCAGAGTTCAGATGCAGATTGCAATGTGGAAAGATTATTTGTATGGTGCATAACTAACAAGATTTTCTTAATTAGAATAACCCAATAACTCGCTTAAAAAAGAGAAAGACATGGAGAGAGCCAGTAATTTAATCAGAGATTAAAGTTAAAAAAATAAGATAAAACCAAGTAAAAAAAAATCTAATTTTGATAAACAACAAATTAATTTAAGAATAATTTTTTACAATATACAAATGTCCAACATCGCCAAATTAAAGTTCATTTATGAAAAAAAAATATATAAGACAATATGATTAGAAATTGAGGTAGGAGTTGCACTAATTTTTTTTTCTCTTATGACGGATATCTCTAAACGAGTTTTGCACACGATGGAAATAAACATGCTAATTTTTTTTTTCTCTTATGATGAATATCTCTAAATGAGTTTTACACACGATGGAGATAAACATGGGTTATTAATTAAATAAATCATCTCCAAAGCATGTAAGTACCAATTAATAAGAAGACTCTTTACATTAATATTATATGAAAATTAAATTCAAATGTTTTGGTATAGAGGACAACCATCAAAAAACTCTAGTTACCATTTAGTTTCAAAATATTAGTGAGTATCAAAATTGTCTTTTCTAGACCTAATCGTTTTGCACACGATGGAGATAAACATGCTAATTTTTTTTTTCTCTTATGACGAATATCTCTAAACGAGTTTTACACACGATGGAGATAAACATGGGTTATTAATTAAATAAATCATCTCCAAAGCATGTAAGTACCAATTAATAAGAAGACTCTTTATATTAATATTATATGAAAATTAAATTCAAATTGTTTTTGGTATAGAGGACAACCATAAAAAAACTCTAGTTACCATTTAGGTTCAAAATATTAGTGAATATCAAATTTGTCTTTTCTAGACCTAATCGTTTTGCACACAATGGAGATAAACATGCTATTTTTTTTTCCTCTTATGACGAATATCTCTAAACGAGTTTTACACACGATGGAGATAAACATGAGTTATTAATTAAATAAATCATCTCCAAAGCATGTAAGTACCAATTAATAAGAAGACTCTTTATATTAATATTATATGAAAATTAAATTCAAATTTGTTTTGGTATAGAGGACAACCATCAAAAAACTCTAGTTACCATTTAGGTTCAAAATATTAGTGAGTATCAAAATTGTATTTTCTAGACCTAATCGTTTGTATTTATACTGGCGTGACATTATAGACACAAATGTCATGTTTCTTGTTACAATACCATGAATCATGTCATATAATTATTGTCATTAATAGACTCATAAATCTTAATATTTATGGTCATTATCTTATCCATTTTGAGGATCATGAGATTTTATTATTGATCGTTTGAATACCCCGTCATCCTATACATAAGTGAGAGATAGTCAAACTATTGAAAACTAAGGTATAAATTGATCTTTTAGAGACTTGATGTCAGTTAATGGTTGATAGATATAATCGACATATGGAAGACCAACACAAATAGTTGGCATATGGGAGACTAGCACGAATAGTCGGCATATAGGAGACCAATACGATACATAGCCCTCTAGGCTCGAGCACGAGACTGGGAAGAGTCTAAGTGATCGATTATCCTTCGTACATAGTCCTCAACATTCGCCTAAGAGACCTCTCGGTCAGTAAGAAACTAATGCAGTACATAGCCCTCTAGGCTCGAGCACGAGAGTGCAAAGAGTCTAAGTGATTGGTTATCCTCCATACATAGTCCTCAATATTTGCTAGGGAGACCTCTCGGTCGGTAGAAGACTACCACAATACATAGCCTTCCAGGCTCAAACATGAGAGTGCATCTCCCTTTTGGCAATATATGTTAAGTAGGTTGATAGGAGAACATCGTCGTACAAAGCTCTCTAGGCTGAAGTACAATAGTGCAGAGAGTCTATGCTCTCACATGGTCTCCTTTTTGGTGATACATTTGAAGTAGGTTGGTATTTCACTAATTGATTCAAATGATGATGGTAAAGTAGTGTTGATATATAGTTATGCTAGGAGTGTTGAATGAAGCTTGAGATTCAACGTAGTCGTGTTTCCCTGAATTTGTAAAACAAATTTGAGTAGTCTTGAAATCTGATATATCTTTTTCGAGATAAGGTTGAAAGTCTACATGTATATCTTGAGATGTATTAATCATGCCAAAATAATTGGAGTACTATCAAGACTCATCATTAGTAATGTGGAATTTAATGTAACCCTTGGTTATTCTCTAGGTTTTCAAGAGGTGTAGTTGTTTAGAATAAGAGGTTGTGGATGTTAAGAAGTTTGATCGCATTAGGGAGTAGCTCGTGTAATCTAAGATCTTTAAAATGTTTTTCACGTCAAGATCATAGTTGTCTAAATTTTGACCATAAAGTGCTCTTTCCATCGAGGTGTAAATCTTTTAATTATTGACCTCAAAGTGTTAATTGCACCAATGTTTAAGTCGTCTAAATTATGATAATAAAGTGTTTTTTGCACCAAAGTTTAGGTTTCTAAATTTCGACCTTAAAACGCTATTTACACCAAGGTGAGGTCATCAAAATTTTGACCTCAAATTGATCTTCACACCAAGGTTTATATTATCTAAATTCCAACCTTAAAGTGCTTTTCACACAAAGGTGTAGGTCTTCTAAATTTTGAGCTTAAAGTGTTCTTTGCACCAAGGTTTCGGTCTTCTAAATTCTAACCTTAAGACGCTTTTCATGCTAATGTTATAGACATCAAAATTTTGACCAAGATTATAGTAACAAAAATTTTGACTTAAAATGCTCTTCACACCAAGGTTATAGTTACAAAAATTTCGATTAAGACACTTTTCACACTAATATTTGTAGTTATGAAAATTTTGATCTTAAGTCACCCTTCACATCAAGGTTTGTAGTCATTAAAATTCCGACCTTAATAAGATGCTCTTCAAAATAATGTTATAGTCATCGAATTCCAACCAAGGTTATAGTCACAAAAAGTTTGACTTAAGAGGCTTTTCACACCAAGGTTATAGTCATAAAAATTTCAACCTAAAGATACTCTTCACACCAAGATTATAGTCATGGTAATTCTAACCTTAAGACGCTCTTCACACCAAGGTTATAATCATGAAAATTCTAACCTTAAGAATCTCTTCACGCCAAGGTTATAGTCACCAAAATTCCAACCAAGATTATAGTCACAAAAATTCTACTTAAGATGCTCTTCACGTCAAAGTTATAGCCATGAAAATTTTGACCTTAAGATGCTTTTCACACCAAGGTTTGTAGTCATAGAAATTTTGACCTTAAGATGCTTTTCATGCCAAGATTTGTAGTCATTAAAATTCTGACCTTAAGATGCTCTTTCCGCTAAGGTTCTAGTCATCAAAACTTCGACCTTAAAATGCTCTTCACTCCAAGGTTATGTAGTCATTAAAATTCCAACCTTAAGATTCTATTCATGCTAAATAGTTATGAAAATTTTGATCTTAAGACGTTCTTCACACCAAGGTTAGTCATTGAAATTTTGACCAAGATTATAGTCACAAAAATTTTAACTTAAGGCATTTTTCACATCAAGGTTATAATCATGAAAATTCTGACCTTAAGACGTTTTTCATGCCAAGGTTATAATCATGAAAATTTTCAACCTTAAGGTGCTCTTCATGCTTAGGTCAAAGCCAAAAAAAAGAGTTCAATTAACCGATTTGTTATTATAAAGCTGTTTGGTTTTAGCTGGTTCGTTGAAAAAACCCAACCGAGAGCAAAGTTAGTAACTTGGTAGCAAGAACAAGACTATTTGAAAAATGAAGCTAAGACCTAAACCTTTTGATTTTTGTACAATTCAAGTTGGTTTTTTGTGCACTATATTTCAGAGTCAATTCAAGGAACAAGTTATCACAAATTAAGAACATGACTAAAGTAATTCAAAAGGAACAATAGATGTTAACCTAGATATCGAAAGAAAAGTGATTGTTGATAGTTACAAAGTTGTAACAATAGCTTATTCTTCATGGGCTCCTCCTCGAAAAGTTGTTCCTTATACTCTTTTAACATTATTATTTTCCTCCACACTTTGTCGTATTCTCTACCATGATCTCTTGCAATGTGGGTCCATAGGTATGGAGATAAACGTATCGAACTCCTCTAGTATCTCCATCATCGATACCATTAGAGTTGTCACTATTGGATCCATCTACATTGCTACTTAGGCGCCTTGTCATCATGAACTAATGCTCACGAACGACAACCAAGTTATGGGAAACAGTTTTATATAGGTCCCACAGTAGATGTCAAAATGTTCCAATATAGAGGACAACTACTAGAAAGCTCTAGTTACTGTTCGAGTCCAAAACATTAGTGAGTATCAAAACTGTCTTTCCTAAACCTACCCGTTTGTATTTATATTGGTGTGACACTATAGATACAAATCTCAAGTTTTTTGCTATAATCCTGTGAATCATATCATTATTGTCATTAATAGGCTCATAAACTTTGGTATTTATGATAATTATCTTGTCCATTCTGAGGATTACGAGATCTTATTATTGGTCGTCTGAATACTCGGTCATCCTTCGAATAAGTGAGAGATAATCAACTTATGAAAGACTGAGATATAGATTAGTCCTTTGAAGTCTTGATGCCGGTTATTGATGATAAATATAATTGACATATAAGAGATTAGCACGAATAGTCGACATATGGGAGACTAGCACGATATAAAAGTATGTGTAAATTATATTATAATAAATGCTTTTAAATATATAAAAATTCTATAT